GATTTGATCGATGCACCTTTGACTTCTAATCAAACAACTTTTATTCGGTTCACCACCTCTCCAAACTACGTTCGAACGAGGGTGTTCGACGAATAACCAGAAAATCTAACCAGGAGAGTTCTAAGTTATGTTACCTCTACTCCTATGGAGGTTCCTCTGGAGAGCTCCGCAACTACGACTACAAGCTATGATCTACGACTCTGCATAGGAGTTCTTTGACAGAGCGGTTCTACGAAACTAGAGAGAAAAACTGATAATTCTGCGACGGTGCAGTTTGAGATTTGATTTTGCCGTTCGAAGCTTCTCTCTCTTCCCAATCTTTATACTTCGCTCTTCTTCCTGCAGTCGTAGTAACTGCCTTCGCGCCTTTGTCTCCCACGTCTTCATTCCTGTCAACCGTGCAGGTAACCTCCTCCCTATTGCGTAACTCCCACGAGTGCGAAACCGCTCTGCTACGCAGCAACTTGGCGAAACGACATTGAGCCACCCTTGTAGTCATCCACCCGGGTTCGATAATCCACCCCGACTCCTCAAGCCAAACTACGTTCATCCTTGTTCATAAAACGGCGGTGTATCACAAACAACACCGCAACGCTGAGCTCCTAGGCTTGCAACCTCGATGCACTCACAATATCAATGCCACTTTCGATGGTGACTCATGGCTTACAACATTGCTCTCTAAACAACGTAGCTCTTAGTACCCCGGCATCGTCGAATTCCCACCATTGATGCTCAACTTTATTGAATTCACGGTGTGTTGAGTTTCTCAACACTGACTAAAGCTCATCAACGTCGTCGAGCTCGCGACCTTGTTTTGGGCAAAACAACATCACTTTCACGACATTGTTAAACTCTTGCAACATTGTCTTTGACTAAACAATGTCGTTTCTTTCTTAGTACTGCAGTGTCGTGTTTACGTTTCGCAGCGTCGTATTCAACTAAACGACACCGTCTAAAATAATTATAAAATACTAATGAATTAAACTAGCCCTCATTGTTAACTCGCCGTCAAACTCTCACCCCTCGGCGCCGTTCTTAGTTAAACAACATCGTTTTCTAGTCCCGCGATGTCGTTGAGCTTTGAGCTTCGCGACACTGTTTTAAATTTAACACTGTCGTTTTAACTATTGCGGCATCGTTTGGCCTACTTGTGGTATCGTTTTATAATCCGCGGTGTCGTTTCTTTCATCTTGCGGCATCGTTTCTTTCCTCTTGCGGCATCGTTTTCAACTAACCGACACCGTCCTAAATAATCATTAAAAATATTAATTAATTAATCCGGCCATCACTAGTCAAACTCGCATGTTGACCAACGACATCATTAGCGCCAAAACGGCTCCATTTGCTTTCCTTTTCACGACATTGTTTTTTATTTTAAACACTGTCGTTTGCTAGTACAGCGGTACTGTTGGGCTTACTCGTAGTACCGTTCTTAATTAAACGACACCGCTAACATAGTCAAAAAATACCAATTTATTGAACCGCCGAGAGTTTGCACTTGCACTGGGCTGGAAGAATTTGGGCCCTTCACTTACCCGATATGATTTTTAATTAATCGGTACCGCTTATCAAGGCTTTCGCGGCATCGTTTTTAAATCCGCAGTACCGTTTTAACTCTCTACGATGCCGCCTGTCTCCATGCGGTACTGCTTCTCCCCTTCCGACAAGGAATAACAATAACAGTAATAATAATAATAACTCCTTTTCCAACACCAATACCAAAACGCGCGGCCCCATCTTATTTTCCGGCGGTGTCGTTTTCTGTGTCGCGGTACCGCTGAGCTTCCTTGCGGTACCGTTTTTTGATTCACAGTATCGTTTTAACTTCCCGCGATACCGCTCAACTCCAAACGACACCGTTTTTTTATCCGCAGTATCGAATTAAATGCCCAAACTAATTAATGCGGCATTTAATTCAGGCCAAAATAATTTTAGGTGTCAACATTCTTATATGGTGTATATAAGTGAAAGAAGCAGAAATCATGCATATGAAAAGGGAACCAAAACCAACAGTCGTACCGAGAAAGTCATGGAATGATTTGATCAAACACTATTGTCGAATGATGGTCTACGAGCCAGACACTATTGAGAAGAAGGAAGAACGATGAGCCTAGCATGAGAGATCTACGCTTGTTAGCATAGCCAAGGAGACTGCCCAAAATCCACTTCAAAGACCGACTAGTTCAGCAATGAACTACTCGAGTAGATGCAGAGGCGTAGGCAAGTCATTCTTGGCTACCAAACAAGACTAGACCTTCATGGAAGACCATAGCCCTGAATTTGTTTCGAGCGGCAATACACATCTGGATAGCATCAATGTCTTTGTGGCTAAATTTAGGAGAAAAGGAGATGATCTAGCATGAGGAAGAAAAGCTTGTCGAGTTAGCCAAATTGATTGTTTGAAAACCTAAACAAGACTTCGACTTTATACTCAAGTCGAAATCCACCCGCGTCTAGGAGCAGACAAGTTATTCTTGGCTACCAAACAAGAAGCTCATCTCTTTCATGTTAAACCTCTTTTCTCAATATTGCACTACTTTCTGGATCTAGTGCCAACGCTCTTAGCTCTTATACACATATTTGGTTCAAAGGAATCTCTCTATTTATAGCTATGCATTGTGGGGAACAAATGTAATTGGTTCTTGTATTCTTTTGGATTCTGCCCAATCCGGAAACTTTCATTGGCGACCATGCATTATGCATAAGATCTCTTCTTGTTCATTGTCCATGAAACGAAACCGAATATATTCTCTGACCTTCCTTCTCTCCATATTTTGAAATTCTCACACCATAAAATGGTTGACCTTAGTCTAGAATCAAAAGGAATCAAAGCTTATAAAAAAAAAAGAAAATCAAAGCATAAATTTAAAGTCAGACAAGAATATTGGAGTATTGGAAAGGTTAATTTGCATGGCAGCTCATACAAGTATTGCGAGAGCAAATCTTATCTCCCACTATCAATTTTCCTCGATTTTTCTATTCGTTCTTCACGAAGTTGGTGTACCTAGTGTCAATAACTAGTTGATTCCAATAATTCGAGTTGTTGGAAGATAGATTTGGAGTTTGCACAGGTACAGGTCCGGACGCCATGTGCTTAACAGAAACAAATGAGGGTTATTGGGATTCAAACATGAGACTTTTCAATCACAGAAGGTTATGATACCATGTCAAGAATAAATTGATCCCAATAACTCAAATTGTTAAGAGAAATTCAATAATACATTATATACTGTTTATTAACAGAAAACCCACCTTCATTTCAATTTGGATTATCCCCTCACGAGATGTAGAGTTGTCGAACTGCATCAAGTAATTATCCAGTGCGAAAGCAACAGGTCAATTACATAAATGATCACTAAACATTGGAGTCAGTAGCTAAAGGGCCACCAGAATTTATGATTTTTAATATAAATATGCAGATATGCTTGTCATTTCGATTTTGGATAAGCTAGTTAAATGGCCATTACATTCATATCAGCGTATCATCTCACCTGGTTCAGTGTTTGGGAAGGATGTTTTTTTTTGCAATTCATAGTGAGATTTTTTTAAGCCACGTTTGGCATTAGTTGTTCATTCACCACCACATGGTCCACATCCAACGCTAAAGTATCACTTTTCCATAAGACTTTTTAATTTACTGTGAAATGAGATAATCTAAATTTCTTCAGTTTTGGGTTTCAAAATAGTAAATTTGCAATCATTTATTTACATAGTTTTCATCTCCTACTTTTAAATGTGTGAGATTTAAAGTTTCTTTATCTAAATTTCATAGCAAAATATGAACCTGTAAACATTGGCAGAGGTGAGTGAACAACTAAAGATCACAATGATTGTAGCTTTAGTGGTATGGAGGTATATTTGAGCTCATAAATCAATTAACTGCATCTCATGTTTCATTGAAAACTAAGCAAAATTTAGGGAGTCATTCATTGTTATCTAAAAGTATTTGAGTAAAATATGTTTGGAAACTGAAATTGATATATATATAAATGAGGACATTGGTTTTTGTTAATCACACCAAGTCTCAATCCAAATATATGTTCGTCTAATCTTGTGGCTTATTCTTTGTTTGAGATGTAGTTGATTGGCGATGTGACCTTGCTGCTGGAAGGAAAATGGAATTGACTACTGAGAAACTGTGTTGGCTTTTGAGATGATTGGAACTTGTATTGTTGCCTGCCATACTAAAGGAGGAAAATATATTATGAGATAACTGAACACAGGTGGCTGATGTATGTTGCTGCATGGGTATTTGATAAGGAAAAGGACGACATGTCAACAGAGCTAGTGATTAGATTTGTTGAAAATGATGTCGATTTGAAGTGACTCGGTGCTTAGATGAGTTAGTTGAATCAACTCGATTTCCTAATTCAACTGGTTTTCTTAATTTGACCAAGTTTGGGTTGATAACCAACTGGGCCTCCAACATCCTAACAAATACTCCGCTTTGGGCAAAACTAATTTGCCCAACCATGCCAAACTTGGGTTGACAATCAGGCTTATGATTTTTGTCTTTTTTGGAAGATACATTGGTTCAAATTCCAGTACTTGTTTATTTTCTAGAAATAATTAAGTTTAATAATTGTGAAGGCAAATATATCATTCATATTTTCGCTCTCGTTGTAGGAATTTGAAACGGAAAAAATAATTTTCTCATTCCAGTCTTATATATTGTATTGTGTTTAGACGTAGACATATGTCATTGCCCTATAAATTGATTCACATGTCAAAAAATGGTGAAATGAACCAATAATTAAGCTCAATCTCGTACAATGATCATTGGATCTAATCATGCCAGATTAGGAACATGTTGAAAGCTTAGCAGTTAACCCGGCTAAAACGTTAAAAACCCAGTCCCATATAGTCTGAATAAGGATATGATTTCTTCATAGTTAATTCTAAAATTAATACTAATTTAAAATTTTGACATTGCTTCGACCTATTTAATACTCTAATTTTATATGCAATATTCAACCAAGTGGTATATGGGTTGCAATTTTAAAGTTATCCTTTGTTTATAACATACATTGAAATATAAACTAATCATTAAAATACAATTAAAATAATAAAAAAATATGAAAGTCGAATTATCAAATCACCAAATAAATACTTATGAGAGATTTAGTTGCTAGCTAACTGATAACGATGTAATTGCACATATTTGCGCCCCTAGTTCTTATCCGTTTGAGGGGCATAGTCGTGTGTTTTGGCCTATTTTACGCCGGGTTGTGCTATTTTGTCATATTTCAGGTCCCAGGCGTCAAAGGGAAGGCTAACCGCGAGTTTCGGGGCATTCGGAAGTCATTTCGTCAAGCTGGAGCCAAAACACGGGCAGCCTAAAGCATTACACGGCCGTGTTCCTGTGGCCGTGCTTTTTATGCCGAGAGCTGAGCTGATTACACGGGCAGGGCCGAGACAAAGCACGGCCGTGTTCAAGCATTACACGGCCGTATCCAACGCGAAGCACGGCCGTGTTTCCTCCCAACTGCTGGCCGTGTAATTAACCCTGGCCGAGACACGGGCGGACTCAGGCAAAGCACGGCCGTGTCCTCGACCGTGCTTTGGCCACTGATGCCTTTTTAAGCAGATTTTCAGCCAAAGAGAAGGGGATTCGAGTTTTTGAGAGAGAGAACGATTCCTAGAGAGAGAAAGCGACGAACAAGAGTCTCCAAGTGCCCTAGATTGATCTTCAACACCATTGGAGGCCAGCTTGAGCTTGGAGGAGTGCCAATCAACGTCCAGGAGCAGGAATCCATCCTTCACAGTATGAATTCCGTGTCTGATTCTGCTTTTGCTTTCTTCTCCATGGAGTAGTTCTCCCATTCATCTGGGTATGGAGAACCCTAGATTTGTATGTTAGGCTTTGATTGTATGAACCCAAGTACTGATTCTATGATTGATTATATTCGATTGAGATTTGAATGATTGAATGACTTGAATCCTGATCAAATTCCTGTTGTTTCTGCTTTAACCTAGAATGAGAATATCTGCCTAGGTTGATGGAGAATCCTTGATTGAAGGTAGGGAGTTGGTGACTTTAGTCGAGGAGCCAACTCACTATTCTGTACCGGATTTACTCCGGTAGTGGAGGTTTTGTTTGTTAAGGCCTCAATCTGTTTACTCCGGTGGAGGTTAGTCGCCCGCTAGAGACTCAGATTGAGAGGGTCTGAAGACCTTTAGTCGAGACTTCAGGCTGTTTAAGAACCTTCCGCAGTATAACTATCATAGAAACTGAACTTGGTAATTACAATCCGGCTCAACTGCAGTCTAGGGGGAATCATATCCGGGTGACCTCTCTTAACTTGAATACAACAGTTTACTTGCTTTGTTAGTTTGATAGTTTAGACTTGCATTCCAGTTTCATTGCTAGATAACAAGAATTCACTGAGTAGTCATCAAATCTAGGACCCGGGTTGACATATAAACCTAATCCGCTATACTACGCTTTAGGAAGTGGTTTCACTTGGCCAATTCCTGGAGTGACAGTAGAGTCAAGTCAAGTTTTTGGCGCCGTTGCCGGGGACGGCTAGGTTTTTGAAGAAAAGTGAAGAAAAGTGATTTCTATACTACGCTTTTGTTCATCAAATAGGTTTTTGGGTAGAAGCTCGCCACAACTAGACGCGTTCTCTAGTTGATAAGAGACACGTGAAACTCCTGGAGACTCTCGACAGAAGCTTGCACAAACGTTCACAAAGGAACACGAGTAAAAACTCTTAATTTGATAACTTGAATGTTGGGTACAAAATTCGTAGCTCTTACATCCTCTATTTATAGAGGTCATGGAAACATAAAACTAACCTAAAGGAATAGGAAAACAAATCCCAACCTAAGTAGGAAACAAAATACAAATTATATAAAGAATAAACTACTAATTATACTTGTAAATAACCTAATTAAATAATTAAACAAACAGAACCAAAATAAGCACATCACGTGCTGAAACTTTCCTTCTCCTTCACGGAATGGAGAATTACATTCTGCCCAATTTCCTTAGTAGCTGCGGACACAATTCTTCTTCTCTCTCGCGGAAACAACTTCCTCCAATTCAATCCATGTAATTGAGCTGCTGGGAGGAAAAAAAAAAAAAAAAAAAAAAAAAAAAAAAAAAAAAAAAAAAACGATTCTCTCCCTCCTCTCTCCCCACGATGGGCGAGTGGGTAGGGCGTTCGCTTCGTGCGACGATGGGGATGACGGTTACTGCCGTCGTGCCCCGCCGTTCCCGGCCAGATCCCGGTGAACCCAGGTTAAAAGGGGCTTGCATCGTCCCCCAATCTACCATCTGCCCTTCTGATTTCTGGATCTACGCATTACCTGGCGAATTCCGAGAGGATTTGCAAATTCCCCTTTGCTCCACCATGGCGGCTGTGCAATTCAACGACGCGGATGTTGCTGTCGGGGCCTTGCGCCTAGATCAAACCCTCGTGGGTCGGCTGTGTGGCCCGCTCCCTTCCCTTTCGGTGCTGAGGACTATCGCCGGCAGAGTCTGGAAATGTGAGTTCTCCTTGGCGATTGTCGAATGGGACCTGCTACAGTTTGTGTTCCCGAACGCTGCAACTGCTCGGAGGATCCGCTCGGGGTCGCCATGGATTTTCGAGAAATTCCTTATCCATGTCCGTTCGTGGGAAACCCCATCTTCTGAACTCGCGTCGGAGCTGGTGCTTGTTCCCCTGGTGGTGCAAATCTGGGGAGTTCCCTATTACTGCTGTACGGAGCGGCTCGGGACCCGACTTGGGAAGGCCCTGGGTCCGGCTGACCCTGCAACCATCCACCGATCGGCATCTTCTGGGGGCTTGTACATCAGGACGAGGGTCCCGTTGGATCTGCAGTTGCCACTTCCGGATGAAATCACTGCTGCTCATGAAAATCCTTCCAAGGGGCAGTTCAAAGCAAAGGTGAAATTTGAGTCCATTCCCCACTTTTGCTTCCTGTGCGGTGTTGTTGGCCATGTGAACAGGTTTTGCCCTCGGAAAGACGAACTGGGCGGGCAGGAACCTCGATACGGCAAGTGGCTGATTGCTCGGGAATTCGGCCCTAGGGTGAATGAAGGTACCTTGGCACGGCGACGTAAACGCTATGTGTGGACGCTGTCGGGGAATCAGGCTGGTGGCTTGCCGGCGGTTGCTGCCCAGGCTAGGGAGCCCTCCCTGGCGGTCGCCGATGGTGGGATTCCAACGCATCCTGTTCAGGCTGGTATGACATCGAGGCTGGGCCAGCTCTGTCTCACGGCACCCGCTGCTGCACAGGAGGGTTCTCCAATGGTGTTTGCTGCTGATGGCGACTGCTCGGGGGTGGATTCAGCTGAACCACAGAGTAAGAAGCCACGCTTGGGGGCTGCAGTCCAGGCAACTGATCGCATTCTTTCGGAGGTGGAGGCAGCCGGCCATAATCGGTCCCAGCCCAATCCATGACTATCTTAGCTTGGAATTGCAGGGGATTGGGGGCGCCTCTGACAATTCCCACTCTTAAGGAGACCCTGATCAAAGAAGCTCCTTTTCTGGTTTGTTTGAGTGAAACACGGAATGACGATGACTTTGTGGTAGAACAACTAGGCTTTCTCGGGTTCCCGGAGGAACGTGTACATAGTGTTGCTAGGAATGGCAGCGGCTTAGCCCTTGCTTGGTCATCTAATCTTCTTGTATCCATTGCAGTAGAAGCTTCTGGTTTTTTATTGGTCGAATGTGAGCACCCGACCTTAGGGAGATTTGCGGTCGTGTTTGTTCATTTGCATTGTGATGTCGCCCATCGGCAATTTCAGCTTAATGAAATCTCATTTCTTGTTGCGTCGTATGATGAACCGGTGCTAGTCCTAGGCGATTTTAATTGTTTGCTTGCTAGTGATGAGAAACATGGAGGGCGTCCTCCTACCCCAGCAGCCCTCTCCCAACTTAACTTGTTTTTGGATGCAGGGGGTTTGCAAGATTTGGGATATATTGGGCCGCCGTTCACGTGGTCAAATAGGCAATCCAGCGGTGATCATATCCAGTCTCGCCTTGACAGATGTTTGGCTAATACGGTTGTGTTTTCCCTGTGGCCAGATATCCAGGTTCATCATTTATCCGATAGAGGATCCGATCATCGAATGTTGTTGGTCAAATTCGTGCAATCGGACGTCCGCAACACTCGCCGGTTTCACTATGACTACCGCTGGAGTTCAAATCCAGCTGTTCCTGCTCTGGTCCACTCGGCGTGGAATCAACAAGTGGCTGGGACGGCTCTATTCAAAGTGCAGTCGAGGTTGAAAAATACGCGCCACCAGCTGCTGTCTTGGGCAAAGGAAGGGACTTCAAATTCCACCAGGCAGATTCGAGAGCTCAAAGGGGACATTGACATGACCAGGGAGGCCCTGATGGTTGATTGGGTGCATATTGGTCATTTGGAGACCCGGCTGGGGGAAGCTTACCGACAGGAAGAACTATACTGGAAACAGAAGTCAAGGAATCACTGGCTGAAGGGTGGGGACGCCAACACTCACTATTTCCATTCGACGACGATGCAACGCCGCCGATCCAACTTCATTCCGGGGCTGCGCGATGAACAGGGCGAATTACAATCTGTCGAGCCAGTGAAAGGGGGTATCTCGGTTTCTTATTTTCAATCATTATTTACCTCCAGTGGTGTGGACCCTTCGGTTTTTGTGCGGAGTTTGAATCTTCCAGTCAGAATAACAGCCTCTATGAATGAGATGCTTACTATGCAGGTTACCCGCAGTGAAATTCGACAGGCAATTTTCAGCATTGGACAAGGACAATCTCCAGGTTCGGACGGTTTTACAGCAGGCTTTTACCAAAGGTTCTGGGATGAAGTAGGGGCAGATGTTTCGGAGGCCATTCTCTCCTTCTTCCAATCCGGTAGACTATTACATAGTATCAACCATACACTGCTGACTCTCTTACCAAAGGTTACGAATGCTGATTCCATGAGACAGATGAGGCCTATTGGCCTCTGCCAGGTTCTTTACAAAATCATTGCCAAAATTTTATCTTCCCGGTTAAGTACTATTCTTCCCTTGGTTATTAGCCCTTTCCAAAACGGATTTGTCAAAGGCCGTTGTATTTCTGATAATATTTTGCTGGGCCAAGAAGTGATGCAGTTTCTGAAAACCAAAATCCGGGGTAATGATAAATGGATGGCATTAAAACTAGATATGGAGAAAGCTTACGACCGTGTCGAATGGGACTTTCTTTTTCAGGTCATGCAGGCCTTCGGTTTCTGTGAAAAGTGGATGTCCTGGATTAAAGCATGTGTGACAACTGTACACTTCTCAGTACTCTTGAACGGAACTCAGTATGGCTACTTTCAGCCCCAACGAGGTATACGTCAGGGGGACCCTTTGTCGCCACTACTTTTTGCAATCTACACAGAAGGTTTTGCTTCGAAGATTGCCCAAGAGGTAGCTTCTGCTTCTCTCCATGAATTACGTATCCACAGGTCAGCCCCTCCTTTATCCCACCTTTTCTTCGCCGATGACTCATACCTGTTCCTTCGCGCATCTATTCCTGAATGTGCCAACTTGCTACATATCCTATCCGAGTATGAATTAGTCAGTGGACAGCGGGTTAACCTGCATAAATCTGCTGTTTGTGTGAGTGGTAACGTTACTAACGCTGAGCTACAAGCTATTAGCACCTTCCTAGGGGTTAGTGTTTTGCAGGCTGAAGACAAGTACTTAGGGCTGCCCTCACAGGTTGGCCGATCCAAGTCACTGACCTTCCAATTCATTGAGGAGGCCCTGGCGGCTCGGGTTCGCCATTGGAAGACGAAGGCCTTATCTTTGGCAGGTAAGGAGGTGGTGATAAAGGCCATTGGTGCTGCTGGCCCAATTTATGCGATGTCGGCATTCCGTTTACCCCAGGAAACGTGTCGGCGATGCAACGGGCAACTATCGAGATATTGGTGGGCGGGACAAGACAAGGAAAGGGGTATCCATTGGGTAGCTTGGAGCGCCCTCTGCCAAAGCAAATTCAGGGGAGGCCTCGGGTTCCGTGATTTTAACAGGTTCAACGTAGCTCTGCTGGCCAAGCAGGCTTGGAGAATATTCCTTAACCCGTCTAGCTATCTGGCTCGCATTTACAAGGCGCGTTATCACCCGGACCGTGATTTCCTGGATGCGACGGCGGGATCACGCCCGTCCTGGGCATGGCAAGGCATCTTGGAAGGGAAAGCT